GAGTGGTTTTTTCCTAAAAGTTTTCTATATTGCTAGAGTACCTCTTTTCTGATCCTTTGGAACAAGAGACTAGGATTTTGTTGGGGCTTCAACAATTTTGTTCAATGACAGTCCTGGCTAATTGGCTTTTCTAGTGCCCAGTTTGGGACACGTAGGGCACAAAGAAAACCTAGGGAACTTACCATCATGTCATTTCTCAGGTCCTGATTCCTAGCTAGTCTGCCTCTTCTCTCCACCTTCCAGAGTCTCCTTATGTTTGTTTCATATATAACGCCCAGGGGTTTTAGTTGTATTTAGTGGCAGGAAGAAAGAAAATATGTCTACTCCACCTTTGGGGGGGAAGCATCCCATCAAGTCTTTCTGATTCTACCACCTAATCACAGGAAGTCTTTGATTATCACAAGCATTTGTACGAATTCCCCAGTTCTTGAGTACATAATAATTATAAACACAGCACACTATCAAATATATCTAATATTTTAACATTTGAAGTATTAGGTATTATATATAACATATTTGTATTAGATACAAGACACCATAAAATGTAGTATCTATTCTTTATTGCATATATATATATATATATATATATATATAATAATACAAAATCCACTATTGTGGAAGTCATGAAAAGGTGTTGCTGAGGTGTTCTGCACCCAGACAACATGATATCTGAGGGACCCCACTGATTCCCTCTGAACCCACTCCCACATTTAAAACCAAGGCCATGTTTCCCGTAGGCTGCTCCCAGACATTGATTGAGCACATGGGGGATACTAACCAATGCAGACCCATTCCTGTGATACTTGGGACTCTCCTGACTGGTGACGTTGACTCAAGGAGTCCTTATCAGCCTGGCTGAATTTTTCTTGGAACTTTGTTACACTCTGAGATTCTTCTTACTCGGTTTGCCTTCCTTCCCTCTCGCCTTCTCAGGTGTCATACCTGCACTGTTGGAAGACTCTGCCTGTCCACCCTCGTTCTTTTCCCCTTTCTTGTTCACGGACATTTCCATCATGCATCCTGGCATACTTTTTTTTTTTTTTTTGAAGGACTCTGATGTTTTATATACCTAGATCTAACTCTATAATCTAGGGGTGCTTGGGTGGCTTAGTTGGCTTCTGACTCTTGATTTAGGCTCAGGTCATGATCTCCCGGTTCGTGAGTTCAAGCCTGGTGTAAGGCTTTGCATTGACAGCATAAAGCCTGATTGGGATTCTCTCTCTTCCTCTCTCTCTGTCCCTCCCCTGCTTGTGCACTCTCTCTCAAAATAAATAAGTAAACTTAAAAAAAGTCTATAATCTAAATCTAGATGTAGGTATAGAAATAGATGATTTCTACATACATAATACGGCATAATACATAATACTGTGTGTATATATATATATGTGTTATGCAGGACAGTTCCATAATCACCAGTTATCATTGAGATGACAGTTTTGGAGGGGGCAGCAGGGACCATATAGCTCACCGATAGCCAAGCAACTACTTCTCGTATATGAAACCACAGTATGGTTCAAATTAATGCTCCTACAATACTACAAATTCTTGTGTCATCAACTTCACAGTTAATCATAAAGTTTTGAAACAACAAAGGCCTTCCTAGCTTTGCCCAATAGAAATTCCTGCAAATGTAGATACATCCTTTATCTTCACTGCCCAGTAAGGTAGCCACTAGCTAGGTATGGTTGTTGAACACTTGAAATATGGCTAGTGGGGCTAATGGAATTTTGAGTGTTATTTAATTTTAATTCATTTCAATTTGAATTTAAGTAACCACACGTGGCTCATGGCTACCATACTGAGCGGTGAAAGCTGTGGTATTTCACGGATACTTACTCTGCCTCCTTCCCAGTGATCACCGACTGAGGTCAAGGCCTTCATCCACACACGCCTGGACCATTCAACATAGTAGCTTTGTAAATCTTGTCCATGTTTCCCCTCTCCTAATGCCCACTTAGTTGCCAGTAGGGTGTTTGTTCTAAAACCCCAAATCACGTCACTTCCTCAATACAAAGCTAGGGATAGCGGGCCTTACTCAATTGCTGTTTTCTCTCCCTTTTTGCTACACCTGGGACTATACACACCCGGCAGCTGTTAGGCCTGATAAATGTCTGTTGGGAGAAGAATGAACATATTTTAACAGCAGGGCATTCTGGAGATAGCTTGCCTTAAATTACCTTAATTTTGGGGACTTGGGGACATGTGGCAAGATAATGAAGGTGTCTTTTTAGCAGGTGATCCAAACAGGTGCCTGCCTCCAGTGCCCTTACGCTCACTCTCAAAGGCAGAATCTTTATGTGACTTATTACATTCTGGGGAGCAAATCATCTTCCCCAGCCTCCCCCAACTGTCATCAACACAACGGTCAGGGGGAAAGACAGGAATTTCTGGACCTCTCCCAAAGTGACCCTCTGTGAAACACCACTGTGGTTAAATGCTAACAAATAAGATCCTCAAGGAGGAAAGATCACACTTGTGAAACATTAGATGCCACTTTTCAACCCAGCGAATCACTGTATTAACAAATCCACTGTTTTTCTTAGTAAAGCTCTTTCCTTTCTTCCCAAGGCAAAACATGACTGGAAGGAAAATCATCACGAGCAAAGCTTATTTAATTCAAAGGTGATCTTTGTCATAAGAAATATTTTGCGTATTGTCAGTATTCCCGCGTCTCAGAGACAAACACACACACCCAACCAGCTTTGAGCGTCTGTTTGAACGTAGCAGGTCTCAGATGCGCCCATGCGTTTTTCTCCCCTCCTCTCCTCCCGCAGCCTCCTGTTTTCATGCTATCAGTGGATCTTCCCACCAGACAACACTCCCTCCCTCCGATCACAGTCTCCTCTATGGGAGATGCACTTGGTTTCTCAGCTCAGTGAACTCTCCCTGTTTCGGCGAGGAAGATTTAATTGCAGGGTTTCACATTTTCAGAGAAAATGTTTAGACTGGGAGGGATCAGCCATATTAGCGAAATGTGGTTTGCGCAAAAATAAGTGGCATAAACCCCCTGCCTTTTGCTGGCAGCAAACTCAGGAAGGAACTCTGGCTGTTATTGAAATAATCCGTAGGTGATTACTTTTTTTTTTTTTTTTTTCCAAACAAGTGCTCGATTCACTTGGAATCTAGTTGTTAGGCTTGATGCATGGTAAAATGAACCTGCAGTCGCATTTGTGGTGCCCATGCATGTGATAAGATAATCCCATAACTTACTTGCTGTAAAGTTGGCCCCTATATATTTTTGCACGCAGCAATAACCTCAAATTATTTCGCGACTTGCCGTTAGGACTCCGACTATTCTGAATCCTTGGCCTTGCGTTACCATCAGGGACAAAGTCGTACTGTTTTAATTCAGCTTAGACATGAAAGATGATCTGAGGATGATGACGATGCTTGTCCTTTCCTTGACCAGACGCTAAGGAAGTCACTTGTCTAATAATGTGAACTACCAACTACAGGAAGTAAGATATCACCTGCAGTGGCCTGTTTATGGGGAACACATACCATCTGCCATCATACAGCAGGCTTTCATCTTCCGTGCTGGTCCATCAACATTGTGTGCACATCACCACCCTTATGCTTCAGTTCAAAGCACAGAGTCCCCCAACTTGGTTTCCCACCGTCCTTTAATTTCGTATCGTGGCTGCACAGCAAAGCCCAGGTTCTCTTCTGCCTTTAAAAAGGCCCAGTGGATGTTCCTTTCCTCCTCTGTTAGAAACCGGATGTGCTTATTGGCAGGCTGAAGCATATAATGCAGCCATGTATACATTTATTTCCGACGTGAATGTCTTTACTTGGTGCGTTTTGAAGAGAGCAAACTGTTGCACCGGGCAGATTAATGGTTTCCTTGTCAACGGGACAGTGATGTAGAAGGTTTGTAATAAGGGCAGATGCATAAAATCTCTGCATAGTTGAAAAAAGCCAGATACGAGAGTCACACTCTCTGATTCCATCTGTACAGAGTTCAAAACGAAGAAAAAAGAACCCCAAGTGTTGGAAGTCGGGGTAGTCGCTCCTCCTGAGAGGCTAGCCCTGGAGAGGGCATGGGGGAGGGTCTGCTGGGTACTGAGACTGTCTTGTTTCTTGATCTGAATTACAGTCACCTGGGCGTGGTCATTTTGTGACAATGTATGGAGCTATACACTTACCCTTTGTGTTTTTATGATGCACTTTTAAAAATTGTTTTTAATTTTGTTTTAACGTTTATTTAAACATTTTGAGGGAGAGACAGAGATAGAGCGCAAGCGAGGACGGGCAGAGAGAGGAAGGGAGACACAGAATCCGAAGCAAGCTCCAGGCTCTGAGCTGTCAGCACAGAGCCCATTGTGGGGTTTGAACTCATGAGCCGCGAGATCAAGACCTGAGCCGAAGTCGGACGCCTAACCGACTGAGCCACCCAGGTGCCCTTTTATGATAACACTTAAAAAAAAAAAAAAAAAAAAAAAAAAAAAAAAAAAGTTTATTTATTTATTTATTTATTTGGGTTTTTTAATTAAAAAAAAATTTTTTTTAATTTTTAAAACTTACATCCAATTTAGTTAGCATAGAGTGCAACCATGATTTCAGGATTAGATTCCTTAGTGCCCCTTACCCACTTAGCACATCCCCCCTCCCACAACCCCTCCGGTAACCCTCCCTTTGTTCTCCATATTTATGAGTCTCTTCTGTTTTGTCCCCCTCCCTGTTTTCATATTATTTGTGTTTCCCTTCCCTTATGTTCATCTGTTTTGTCTCTTAAAGTCCTCATATGAGTGAAGCCATATGATTTTTGTCTTTCTCTGACGGATTAATTTCGCTTAGCGTAATACCCTCCAGTTCCATCCACGTAGTTGCAAATGGGAAGATTTCATTCTTTTGGATTGCCGAGTAATACTCCATGGTATATATATATACCACATCTTCTTTCTCCATTCATCCACCGATGGACACCTGGGCTCTTTCCATACTTTGGCTATCGTTGATAGCGCTGCCGTAAACATGGGGGTGCATGTGTCCCTTCGAAACAGCACACCTGTATCCCGTGGATAAATGCCTAATGAGAGTGCAGGCTGGGGAGGGGCAGAGACAGAGGGAGACAGAGAGTCACAAGCAGACTCCACGCTGTCAACGCAGAGCCTGACGTGGGGCTGGAACCCACCAAGCGTGAGATCATGACCTGGGTGGAAATCAAGAGTAGGACGCTTAACCACCTGAGCCACCCAGGTGCCCCTCTTATGATGTACTTTAACCAGAGTTGACATTTACACTAAAACATACCAAAAATATGCTGCAAATGGTCTCCGTCCAGGTCATCAGAATAGCATTTGTGGCTTTGACTCGAAAAGGGCCTGGGTTCGGAGCCCAGGACGCTATTGCTGTTTTTGACTGCTGAACATAAAAATGCGACACTCCGAGTGACCCGTCACCGTACTTTTTCTGAGAACATGAGCCGATTGCTTGTTTTCCTGGCACAGAAACATGAATAAAATGCGATGAATTCTCTAAAAAGTACTCTACGGCTCAGATAGCTCCAGGAAGAAACACCAGGGCCTCTGCCTACCAAGAGAGCCATTTTAAAGAATACGTACAGCCACCCTCAACCCAACTGCTACCAAACAGTTGAGCTGGAGGGGAAAAACCCACGCGCACTGCAAAACCCAAGAGCAGGAAGTCACAAAGCATGGGTAATGATATTTACTCAGAGCCGGATTCACATCCTACTTAACTCCACGGGAATTCTCAACAGTTGGTCTCGACAACTCCAGCAATTTTGAGGCTCATTAACCTATTTGCAGGTGCTCGGCTCTCTGAGCCGCCTGCGTTCAGAGAAATAACATTCTCAAAATTCTCTGACGCAGCCTGCCATCTCAGTCCAGAGGTAATCATGACGTTTCTCAGGCCTCTTAGCCGGGAAATGAAAGCTCTGGGTGATTCTGAAGTGGCGAGTTTTAAAATGAGTAATCCCATCTAACGTTTCATGTGAACCCCCACGGTAATCGGAGAGGAACATGGGTAAATAGTCCTCTTGAATGATTGGGTAAGCCATCCTAGGCTTTACTGAAAGAATTAGGCTGTGCTAAAACCCCCAAATATCTAAACCGTTTAGGGTAGACGAAAGAGAATTGGAGCATTTCATCATGTCCGTCTTTATTTCTTTAGGACACATGTCTGTGTTTTCCTGCTGAATCGCAAAGTGGGATCCCTGCGTTAAATTGTTCTGCCCAATCAGGCTAAGCCCTGGGGAGCCAGGCAACTCTTGTTCAGTGGATTCTATTACGGGTTGTCTTTGAGAATCACATTATTTCTAAAATGCAAGGGCTGCAAAATATTTTGCTGGGTCCGCTCCTTTTTGAGACATTTTAGGATTTGCAAATTTCTCTAAACCCCTTTTGCTACAAACAAAGCCTTGAATTCACCCTTCATGGTGGGGTCTCTGCTGCACTATAACTTTGTTATAACAAAGTCTTTCCCAGGATTCACAGGAATGAACTCCCTGGGCAGAGGCCAACACCAGCCGGCCTTACACGAACGTCCATGCTGCCCAGGGAAGGGTTGGAGGCAGTCTCTTGAATATTAATCACCATTCTGCTCTGTTTACAAGTCCGTCCTTTCTGAAAATCGCCTTACAAATAACCGTTCCCTCAAGATTATTTAAGAGCTAACTATTTTGATGTATTGAAATCTAGAGTTTGACCTGAAAATATATGGGCAGAAGTTTAGAGTATCCAGGACAAATCATTGGGCCATATTTTTGTGGCCTGGTAGGGAGGGTGGTCAACCATACTGTCTTTTCTTGTGGGGGGGGGAAAGAGGTATTCTCTTTCTTAGCTGAGCAAGACTGGGGCGTAGGTCTGCTGATGTCTTTCTGGACATGCTGCCACCAGCTCCGATCCCGCCTTGTCGCACACTTACTGTGGCAACTTCTAGCGCTCTTCTGGAAGTAAATAATTGACAAATCTGGGCAGTCACAGGGTTACCGAGGTTAACTGCAGTAGTACATATAAAGGTAGCATTGTATGCAGTCTTACAGACAATGCTCTGCTAAGATTCCTTGCTGGATTAACAGAAACGTTGAGAAGCTATTATGCCTTCATGTTGGTTTTCTTATTCGTGTAATACTGAGCCTACGTCCTGTACAGCTTTTAATATATTTAGCAGCACTAATTAAAGCAAAGGAGATGGAAAAATGTTTATCGCACTAAGAGAGATAGCTTTTGTTTTGTTCTAGAGGACAGTCTGAAATAGATTTCATCCAGTTTGCATCTTATTGGGTAGAATTGGACGTTGATGGTGCGAACAGAGATTCCGTTAAGCAGGGTGAAGCTCAGGATCCATGCCAAGGCGAAAATGACCACGTATATAACAGGACTGCCCCGCTTAGGAAGACAGAGAAATGATGTACGTGATATTGTAACTGAAGATGCTACACCCAAGGAACAGAAGAACTGAGGCTACCCACCTAAGCACCCAAAGACGTGCATGGCTGAAGGAATCAGCATTCCTGTCTACCAAACTCACTGCCTCCTATGTGGCGTAAATAGAACGTTTGAGTCTTTGGCTACTTGTAATGTAGACTAGTTATTTTCTGTCTATGGGACCCTCTGAGTATGTGGACCTATCTGAAGTAGGGGTACTCTGCTAGATAAAAAGTAAACTAATCATTGCCCTCAGATGAAATAACTTTGGCTTGAAGCTAAAGCAAAACCTCTCAGGCCATAAAAAATAAAGACTTACAGGGGGCCCCTGGGTGGCTCAGTCAGTTGAGCACCTCTTTGTTTTAGGTCAGGTCATGATCTCCTGGTTCATGAGATGGAGTCCTGCTTCAGGCTCTGTGCTGAAAGCAGAGAGCCTGCTTGGGATTCCCTCTCTCTCTCTCTCTCTCTTTTTCTCTCTCTCCCTGCCCCTCCCCTGTTCGTGCTGTCTGTCTGTCTCTCTCTCTCTCAAAATAAATAAAATAAAACTTTAAAAAAACCACCTTTAAAAAAAAATAAAGACCTACAAATGGAATATAATCTGGCTCCGGTGACTTTCCATCGCTTTCTTCCATGTTCTCTCTGTCCTGGCAATCAGAGCACCCTTATGGGTCCTTTAACACCTAAGCATGTCTTTCTCCAGGGTTCTAGTTGCCTCTGATGTTGCCCCTGCATGGACTTTCCCCTGTAGCCCCCTTTACTTACCTGGCTCATTTTTTCACTTTCTTCAATGTTTTGCGCACATGTAACCTCCGTGAGGGCTACTCTGCCCACCTATTTTGAATTACAGAACCTCCTTCAGCATATTCCACATCCCCTACTTCCCCATTGGTTGCACTCACCCCTGTGATGTGCTCTTAATTTTTCCTCGGAGCACATCCCGTATTCTAAAGCAACATAAAACTTAGTCACTATGTCAGCTTTAAATTGTTTACCTGTTCCCCACTCGAACTGAAGCTGTCAAAAAGCACAGATTTTGGTTTGTTTTGTCCACCGATGAGTCTGTAGGAACTGGTATGGTGCCCAACACAGAGCCGTTACTCAGTACATATTTGTTAAATGAATGAATGAATGAATGAACAAATGGGTGAATATTTTGGAGCATTGGTGAGGAGTTAGGTACATAGAAAACTGAGCAATGAAAAAGTGAGCTTATCACTATCATTGTCTGAAAGAGGAAAACAATCTGGGCTCAGAAACGAACAGTATTTATATAATCAAAATAATGTAAATGCTGAATATTGATTAAATATTTTATTTTTTTAAACTTATTTATTTTGACAGAGAGAGAGAGAGAGAGAGAGAGAGAGAAAGCACAAGCAGGGGAGGGGCAGAGAGAGAGGGAGAGAGAGAATCCCAAGCAGACTCCACGCTGGCAGCACAGAGCCTGACCCGGGGCTAGAACTCAACAAACCGTGAGATCATGACCTGAGCCGAAATTGAGTTGGTTGCTTAAGTGACTAAGCCAAACAAGTCCCCCTTAAACATTTTATCTTACATTTTATCTTTTTTTGGGAAAATGAGATAAGAGGAAAAGGTGAAGTTGACATAAGGGAGCTAATCCTGAACTACTGTAATAGAAAGGCAATAAATTATTCTAAAATTGATAAATGGAGAAATCTCAGAGAAAGCATGTTATTCAGCAGTATGAATGTAAATACCAGAGATAACAATGAAAAAGTTCAAAGTATTGTCTCTTGGGGCTTGGGGAAGAGTGGTGTTCATTATAAAATGTATTACTATTTGAGTGTGTATATATTACCTTGATAAACATAAAATGTCATAAAAAAGGAAATATTTCCCATAAGCACCTTTTACAGAAAGTACTACATTTCTCTCCAAATTCTTTTAAACTGTTCTCCTTGAAGAACGCTTTTAGATAATTATTCATATTTATTTGATGAAATATAAAATGAGATATCATGAAGTATTAAAACGATTGGATTGGTAAAACTTACAAAATTATTCTAAGTCAATTTCAGAGAGACTGGTCAAATATTTTTTAAACATTTTTTTTCAATGTTTATTTATTTTTGGGACAGAGAGAGACAGAGCATGAACAGGGGAGGGGCAGAGAGAGAGGGAGACACAGAATCGGAAACAGGCTCCAGGCTCCAAGCCATCAGCCCAGAGCCCGACGCGGGGCTCGAACTCACGGACCGCGAGATCGTGACCTGGCTGAAGTCGGACGCTTAACCAGCTGCGCCACCCAGGCGCCCCGGGTCAAATATTTTTAATGTGGGATGGATGTTTAGGTTTTTAAAATAATGTATTTATGGGGAAAAGTTTCAATTTGCTATTATTAGCGGAGATGCAGCTTAACATCCAAAGAAAGGAAAAGTAGATTAAAGAAAATCAAATACATCAGTTTGGAAAACACAAGGATTGCATTTTGGCTGAAAGTTACAATATCATTTAGGCCAATAAATTACTCATATTAGGCATACCTCTATACCACATATAAGAGCTTTATATACAACAAAACAAGCAATAACAATAATAAAATAAAAGTCACCACTCACAAATATATGCATAAACATAAATATGAAAAGAATTCATATATATTGTACTAAAGAATGTGTATATATATATAGTACTAAAGAATGTATATATGCATATATATACACACATACATATCTATGTATATAAATTCTTTTGTACATTGCTTTCGAGCACAGAAGACTAATACTCAAATTCCATCATTCAGAAGATATCCACATGGACCATGAGAAGACCTTGAGAGAGTCATCCAGAATGTCTGATTACCTGCACACACAATTTGGATGTGCTCAGAATTATAAGCCATCTAACAAATAGCATATTACTATCAACTGAGTCATTTAAATACTTACTGAGGCCATGAAAATGACCTCCAAAGAAACATTATATATTTACCTAATTATAATCATCTCTAGGGACACCTGGGTGGCTCCGTTGGTTACACTTCAGCTTTGGCTCACAATCTCACAGTTGTTGAGTTCAAGTCCTATATGGGGCTCTCTGCTGTCAGCACAAAACCCATTTTGGATCCTCTGTCTTCCTCTCTCTCTGCACCTCCCCTGCTCTTTCTCTCTCTCTCTCTCTCAAAAATAAATAATCATCTCTATATATGTGTGTTGAGATAGTTTGATTTCTTTCTAAATATTAGGCTAAACACATATACATGTGTATATATAGATACACAGGTATAGATATGTGAACATGATTATGGCAATATTAGGATACACATACATGCATATAATACCTAAGTATATTACTTTTAGTTGTTATCTAAGTAGTAGATTGGCATGAGATGTGACAGCTTGTAATTCAATCAGCCTGTGAGCATAATTTATGTACATAGATGTACATAACAGAGAATACAAATTATTTACGATAATAAATTATTTATGATGATTTCAATAGGTAGTTACAGGCTATTTTGTTATAAAATTAACATTTTTAGTTTTTAGCTTAAAAGGTATGGTGAGGTCTTTCAACTGTAGCCATGCAGAGCATGTAGCCTAGCAGAGCAACCATTGCCTAGTATTGCAACTGATGCTTTCTCAGTGCCTGACTCATAAAAGGAAGGGAAGAAGGAGAAAATGAAGGCTATGAGGGAGTGAGGGAGAAGAAAGGAAGGAGGGAAGGAAGGAAGGGAGGGAGGAAGAAAGGCAAGGAAGAAAAAGAAGAAAAAAATCAGGAAGATATTCCGAATGAACATTTTGGGCATCTTATTGAACGAGATGAGAGTCACACGGCTAATAGGAAACAGAAAATTATTACCTAAGTCTGTTGTTTTTGAGTAGCATACTGTCCAGGTCGTTAGTAGAAAGCCCAAGTGAAGTTGTGGCGCAGTCGGTGAAGCGTCCGACTTCAGCTGGGTCACGATCTCGCGGTCCGTGAGTTCGAGCCCCGCGTCGGGCTCTGGGCTGATGGCTCGGAGCCTGGAGCCTGTTTCCGATTCTGTGTCTCCCTCTCTCTCTGCCCCTCCCCCGTTCATGCTCTGTCTCTCTCTGTCCCAAAAATAAATAAACGTTGAAAAAAAATTTTTTTTTAAAAAAAAAGAAAGCCCAAGTGAGGCACACATTTTCTTCTTCTGGAGACTTACAAGCTGACCTTTGCATCAAACAGAAAGTACACAGAGAATCAAATTAGAATGATTCAGGGAAGGCTACTGCAACAATCTCTAAAAGGACTATATAAGTCCTGGAGGGACAGTCGAAAACCTGACTTCAATTTTTTTTTCATCTTTATTTTTGAGAGAGACAGAGACAGAGTGCAAGTGGGGGAGGAACAGAGAGAGCGGGAGACACAGAATCCAAAGCAGGTCCCAGGCTCCGAGCTGTCAGCACAGAGCCCGACACGGGACTTGAACTCAGGAACCGTGAGATCATGACCTGAGCCGAAGTTGGACGTTTAACGGACTGGGCCACCCAGGCGCCCCAAGCCTGACTTCAGTTTAATGGGGCACAAATTGACGAGCACTGTGGCATCAGGCAGACAAATCTGGCATAGAAGGAACATCACACATTGAAGAGGGATTGCTGAGTCCCTTGTCAAGTTCTTAGGTACGTCCTAGTGTGAGTGCTCCTATTTAACGTTGCTGAGTTATTTAAACTCAGGATAAACCAGGAGTGACCCATTCTGGGACTTCACATGTCCAACTTGCATTTACTCTAAACAGATGAGTGAGAGTCCACCAGTCTTTGAGGAATTGGGGAGGCATATCCTGGAGCCTGAAGGCCAGTGTGGCAGTGATAAAGGACCCAGCCCAAGTCTCTGGCATACAAGGAGTCAGGAACCTGGAAGAACATCCATGTGAGAGCAGAGCCAAGTGACAGTGACTCCAAGGTGAGCAACCAAAGCCTCCAGGTATCTCCATGTATCTTCCCATGGCCTTGATGGTGCCTAAGAAGGACCCTTACCATGATGGCAAAGCGGACCGACCACTTGGCCAAACATTGAGGGGTGAGAACACCAGGAAGAAGCTCTTCTGAAAACTGGACGGTCGCGATCATCTTCCAAAGTGAAGAGGGGGGAGCTGAGGAATCAAGGGGACATTACGCTGCTTTTTAAGGGTTGTCAATTTCTTTCAGTCTGTTTTTCCACCCACGATGAGTAGGAATGTAGACCCATCTATAGTTGTAGAGAAGCTGAACCAGATGCCCCAGGCTTAAAATACCAAGGCTTCATGACCGTTTGCTTGCTTTGCACTTGGCCCAGCAAGCTGGCTTCTGGGAACCGGACCATGCAGTTCTCCCTCCTATTAATAGAAGATCCTTTTTCTGTGGTATGCCTTCGAGTCTTTAAGATGTATGAAGGTACCCCGTTAGATAGAGTACAGGCCAAACCCCACCGCAGCGAAGTCTCAGAGAATGTCCTAGAATTTGGTTGCATTTCTTGAAAGAAGAGGGCCATCAACTGAAGATCAAGAATCTTATGATGATGTGATGATGACATCTATTGTAATGCGATTTGTCCTGTGTGAATATTGGTGATTAGGCAGAGAAAATCTTAAAGACGATTTTTTTTTTTTATGCCGTCATGTATTGAGCTGGGCTAAATTTAGCTTTATACTTCCTGCATCTGGGACTGGCACTTTGGCTTTGGGTCGGATTTTCTTCCCAGTTTCTTGGGCACTGGCTCCATGCTGTAGTGTTTTGGGTTGCAAATATTGCAAGGGAAGGCTTTAACACAAACAGAATATCTCACCGATTAAATGTCAGAATGTGGTTTGCTTGCTGAAACTCAGTGAGAGGAGCCAGAGGCCTGGGCTCCAAGCCCAGCTCAACCACGCTTTATCCAGGCGGCCTGGGGGGGGGGGGGGAGGATTATTTAACTGTTTCCTGCCCCGTGGCTGTGACACCGGGGGTGTGGGAGGGCATTGCAGACACAACCCTGGGGTTGGTAGGTTCTTTGCGGATTTTTGACAAGTGACTGCATGGGCTTTTCTCCCTCTTCTCTGTCCGTTAGTCTGTATGCACACATGAGGCCCTCTGGGAAAAGTGTTCACGGGGGGTGCCAGATATTAGGCAGTTCTGGGATTAATGATGTCATTAGTGAC